TGGGGGGGGGGGGAGATAGTGTCACTATCTTTAGGTTTTTCCTCTTGGTGGTGATCAGATACCTCAGAGAAGACACTTTCCAGTCTTCTTTCAGGAGATGTACCGAGCTGCCAGAACTCTTAAGAATCAAGTTTGGGAGAGAAGGCTAAGTGTCTTGATATTCATTTCATCCTCCTGCTTTTGGTATTTACCCTGATAATCCACTGTTCAAAGACATTTTAGTGTTCTTGAATTAAAATTCAATCTTCTTTCAGGGCTGGAGAGAAATAGTGTCCTGGGTGCTTGGTGTGGGAGAGGTTCAAGGGTCTTAATGTGTAAATTAGCTTTTAATCAGTCCTTTTGTTCCAACTCTACCTCTACTCCCTCTTCCAGAAGAAGATTGAATTTCATCAATTTCCATGCCTTTGGGAGGTTCTGTGATGTTCTATAAATGGTGCTGCTTCTCAGATTTCCTTACTGACAGCTGAGGCTTCAGCTTTCTCTTATCTGTTTTGTGAGTTACCACTTGTCTGTCTTCTTTTTCCAGTTCATCATCTTCCTTTGTCCTTCTGATTTATGGCTTTATTTACCTTTGTTTTTTTTAATTAAGGGATAATATAAAGTGCATATAGTTCACTATCTTAAATTTATAGTCTAATGATTTTTTATATATGCAATCATCACTCAGATCAAGATAAAGAACACTTCCATATACAATAAGGTCCTTCTGTGTCCTTTCCAAATCTATATCTACCACCTCTGAGCACTATTTTTATTTCTATCACCATACATTAGTTTTGCCTATTTTTCAACTTTACGGAATCATTCATGTATTTTGTAGTCTCAATATGAGGTCTTTTTTCTCTGGCTTCTTTTGCTCCAAGAATTGGTGAGATTCATCAGTGCTGCAGGCACTGGTTTATTTATTTTTTAGTTCCTGTGTATTATTGCATTGTATAACTATACTACTACTTATTCCTTCTCCTGTGAGTGGGCATTTGGGTTGTTCAGGTTTTTGGCTTTTGTGACTAAAGCCACTATGAATATTATTGTACATGTTTTTGATGTGTAATTTCATTCATTGCTTTTGTTATATACTTATGAGGGGATTGCTGGATCATAGAATAAATATTTAGCTTTAGTAGAAATAGCCAGTCTTCCAAACTGTCTGTACCATTTTTCACTTACATCAGCAAAGTATGAGAGTTCCAGTTGCTGTCTTCTCTAACACTTGCCAGTCTTTTCAATTTTAGCCTTCTGATAAGTGTGTAAACATACTGCTGTGGATTTTAGTTTCATTTCCCTGAGGGACTAATGTGTTGAATTATGCCATTTAAATTTTTTGTGTGTGTGTGAAGTACCTGTTCATGCCTTTTTCTCATTGAAAATAATGGTTATGTTTCTTTGCCTCCACATTTTGGCTGCTTCTTGATGTTTGTTTCTGTGTATCAGATAGAGCTGCTGTGTCTCCTGGAATTGGTAGAGTGGCTTTGTATATTAGGTGTCCTGTAGTGCCTTGAGGAGTTCATCACCACCAAACCAGTACTACATGAAGTGTTGAAGGGTCTTCTTTAAGAAGAAGCTAAGGAACAAAAGAAACTGACAAACAAAATAGATCCAGAGACACTGAAGCATGCAACAGACTGTCATTTCTCAGAGGGAAGGGGGAAGGGGGAAGAGGGATGGGGGTGGTAAGAGATTAACCAATGAAGTTAGATTAACCAATGAAGTTATTCGTAAACCATGGACACAAACAATAATGGGGTAAAGGCCTGGGGAGGGAGTGGGGGAGAGGTGGAGGAGGTCAGTGGGGGAAACAATAATAGATAAATTTTAAAAATTTTTTTAAAGAATAGCTATGCCTTTTTAATAATCTTGTTAGAATCATTTAAATGGCATTTTGGGAGGGAGCAGGGCTTATCTGCATGTGAGTAACCTGCCACCTTTAAATGGAAGTGAGGTAACTTTAAAGCTTCATATATTTTTTCTCATTTCTGTCATCGCCAATGTGTGATTTAACCTCATTTTTAATTAGGTGGGCATAATCTGTAATTATATTATAATGAGTTTTAGAATGACACTCTTTGGTTCCAATATTAAAGATATCAGATATGAAATTTTTATTTCTTATAAGAAACTGGAACAAGAAAATTATTCAGTAGTTGTAGTCTGCCTATTCCTTTCTGTTTTTAATTAAAATGATATTTAGGACCAAGAGCATTGTTTATTTATCCATTCAGCACGAACATGTTGTGTGCTTTCTCTATATCCTATCTAATAATAGGCTTAGGGAATACAATAGTGAATAAGACAAGCAAAGCTCCTCTCCCCTTGAAATATATTCAGGTAGGAGAAATTCATAAGTAAGTAAACAAATAGCTAAGTAAGATAATTAAAGATAATTTCCTGTTTTGCAGAAATGGAGCAAGAGCCACAAAATGGAGAACCTGCTGAAATTAAGATCATCAAGGAAGCACACAAAAAAGCCTTTTTATTTGTTAATAAAGGACTGAATACAGATGAATTAGGTCAGAAGGAAGAAGCAAAGAACTACTATAAGCAAGGAATAGGACACCTGCTCAGAGGAATCAGCATTTCATCAACAGACCCTGAGCACACAGGTCCTGGGTGGGAATCTGCTAGACAGATGCAGCAGAAAATGAAAGAAACACTTCAGAATGTACGTACCAGGTTGGAAATTCTAGAGAAGGGTCTAGCCACTTCTCTACGGAATGATCTTCAGGAGGTGCCCAAGTTATATCCAGAATTTCCACCTAAAGATATATCTGAAAAGTCACTGGCACCTCAGTCATTTAGTTCACCTCCTCAGCATACTGAGGTAAATGGAAACACTTCAACTACAAGTACAGGGTCGGTTCCTGCACCTAGTTCCCTGTCCTTACCATCTCAAAGTCATCCAGCAGAAGCACCTCCTGCTTATACTCCTCAAGCTGCTGAGGGTCACTACACTGTATCATATGGAACAGAATCTGGGGAATTTTCATCAGTTGGAGAAGACTTTTACAGAAATCATTCTCAGCCACCACCTCTTGAGAACTTAGGGCTAGATGCAGATGAGTTGATTTTGATACCAAATGGAGTACAGATATTTTTTGTAAATCCTGCAGGGGAGGTTAGTGCACCTTCATATCCTGGGTATCTTCGAATTGTGAGATTCTTGGATAATTCTCTTGATACAGTTCTAAACCGTCCTCCTGGGTTTCTTCAGGTAAGCCAAAGAAAAATGTAAACATAATTTGAAATACGTGTAAAATACATCATTTTTGTTTGTTGATATTTATAATGTGTCTAAGACAATAAGTGCAAAAAGATCATTATAAATTCTAGTTCCTTTTAAATATATTTATGAAATTTATGCGCTTTGAATGTTTCTGATAGCCTACTTTTTTTTAAACATATAGAGTCTTGTTTTAGTGTTAAATTTGTGATGATAGCTCTTAAATTTTTATCTGAAGAAGAAGCCTAGTAACTTTAATTTCAAAAGGAATTTATGTAACATGAGGATGTGTAACGGTAAATATCCAGAAATGAGGCCAGGCTCCAGCTGAGGAGCTGAACTGGGCTGAACCCCTGCCCAGTATCTAGAACAGTGGATCTCAACCAGGGGTGATCGCCCCTCCTCCTTCCCTGGAACATTTTGGCAATGTCTGGAAACAATATTCTTCTTCTTCTTAATTGATCTTTATTGTTGAAAGTATTACAGATGTCCCCTCCCCCCCATTGACCCCTTCCTCCCGCATCTGCCCTACACCCAAGCCTTTCCCATACTTTTGTCTGTGTCCATGGGTTATGCATTTATGCATATAACTTCTTTGATTAGTCTCTCCCTACCCACTCCCCCACCCCCACATTCTCTCTGAGATTCATCAGTCTGTTCATGCTTCTATGTCACTGGGTCTATTTTGTTCATCAGTTTATTTTGTTCATTAGATTCCACATATGAGTGAGATCATGTGATACTTGTCTTTCTCAGACTGGCTTATTTCACTTAGCATAATACTATCTGGGTTCATCCATGCTGCCCCAAAGGGTAAGAGATCCTTCTATTTATAGCTGCATAGTATTCCATGGTGTAAATGTACCACAGCATTTTTATCCACTCATCTACTGGTGGGCACTTGGGCTGTTTCCAGATCTTAGCTATTGTAAATTGTGCTGCTGTGAACATAGGGGTGCATAACTTCTTTCTGATTGGTGTTTCAGGTATCTTAGGATACGTTCCTAGAAGTGGGATCACTGGACCAAATGGCAGTTCCATATTTAACTTTTTGAGGAAACTCCATACTGTTTTCCATAGTGGCTGCATTTCCACCAGCAATACACTAGGGTTCCCTTTTCTCCACATCCTGGCCAGCACTGGTGGTTTGATTATTGATGATAGCCATTCTGACAGGTGTGAGGTGATATCTCATTGTTGTTCTAATTTGCATCTCTCTGATGATTAGTGACTTTGAGCATTTTTTTCATATGTCTCTTGGCCATCTGTCTTCTTTGGACAGTGTGTATTTATGTCCTTCGCTCATTTTTTAATTGGATTGTGTCATCTTTTTGTTAAGTTGTATGAGTGAAAACAATTTTCATATTCACAACTGAAAAGGGGGAGTATGCTACTGCTACTGGCATATAATGGGTAGAGGCCAGGACTGTTAAACATCTGAACAGGATATCTCCCATCAATTAAAAAAATTTTCCAACCCAAACATCAGTCATTCCAAAGCTGAGAAGCCTGGGCTAAAAGAAGAGACTGATGATAATTGAGGATACAATTCTAAAATTCCAAGCAGATCAATTTACCAGGATACCCTTGGTCCAAGAGCAAAGACTGCTGCTAAGGTTGTTGTTAGGGCATTGTTGTATAATTACGGAGGTATTCTGAAGGTGGTGGTATAATAATTTTCTGATTTTGGAAGTCGGGATGTTGATACGGGGAGATGGGTTCTAGAGATGAGGACTAGTGTACATTGTATATATAACAAAAGAGTTTACGTGGAAGGGAGATTATTTGAGCAAGACAGGTGCTTTCACCCACAGCCCAAATGTGGTTTAGTTACAGCACTGGTTGTCTAGATTCTTTTTCTTTTATGGTGTACTCTATTTTTAATTCGTACACAGCTTTTACATAGAGTCAACTTGAATGTTGTTTAAAGATAGTTTGATACTTACTAGGGATGTATGAAGTACATACTTTGGGGCATTGTTGAAATGAAGACTTAACTATTAGACAGAAAGAATATTGTGAATCCTGTAGGTTATTTTAGGAAAGAAGCCTTGAGATTAAAAAGAGTAGGGTTATTGATTGGGTTTGTGAGGAGGCTGATTAGAGCTATTAGTTTCTGCTGATCTGGTAATAGAGCTGGATTGCAGTAGTGGAATTTTAAAAACCTGGGGCCTAGGCTACTGGAGGTCTGAGAAATGAACATCAGAAACACTACCTGGTTACATGAGTTCGACCATTAGAAAAAAGTTGTCCTATCTTAGTGCTTTTAATTTTGTTTTTAATCTTTTTTATTATCTCCTATTTTTGGTCCTAAATAAAAAATAAACTTACACCCAAAATTTAATTTGTCTCTTTAAGAGGCTCTCATTTGCATCTATTCAGATATTTGTAGCATTCTTCTAAAAGAGTTATCATGTGTTGACTGAATAAATGTTTGTATGTTCTAAAAAACAAACAACCAACTTAGTATTGGAAGTTAGATATAATTTCTTAGGCTGAAAAATCACTATTGGCCTACTTTGAAATTAGAAATTAATTTGGTTTTAAGTAGGTAGACTTGGAATTTTAGGACTTCTAAAAACTATTTTTCTCTTGATTTTAGTTTTAATATACTTTTTAAACCTATTAAATTTGTAGTCAGTTCGTACAGAACTTGGACATGAGATTGCCCTCTGAAGGTGAAACTGGGTGAAATTAGACTGTGGTAGATGAGCTCATCAATCCATAATAATCTACCCTGAGAAAGGTCTGTAACATTTTATTTGAGAAGATCTGGGGATACTCCAGTTCAGTCAAGGTGATGAGAATGTAGTTAATACTAGAGGAATCATGGCATAGTAAAAAACCTTTCCCAAACTGTCAAACTTTAGGCATTTAAGTATAACCTTTACCTTTTTTTTTTTTTTTTTTTTTTTAAATCTGTATCTCTGCTATTACTTTAATATTTTTATTTGGATGTCTCAGCTAATTTTATCCTAAACAATAACGACTATGAAATTGAGGGAAAGATGTGTTTTTTTCCTAATACATATTAAAATGCATAAATACTCAAATTGAAATAGTTTGTGTATTACTTGAAGTCGTTTCACATACCACAGATGGTTATATATCATACTTCGGAAAAATAAGTTTTATTGTAACTTGCCTGAAGTTTGACTTTTATAAAAGATGGAGAGTGACTTTTGAGACAGCTAGAAAAAGGAGAATTGTTAAAAGAAAAATAATTTGAAAGTGTTTATTAAATACTTTCCAGGAAAGAGTCACACCCAAGTACTCTGATCCCTATACATTTATATTCTGTTGGTCAGAGATGATGGTAGTCTACTAGAATTTTCCATTTGTTTATATGAAATCTTTCGTGCTCTTTGACTTATGTTCACCACATAGCATTTTGATAATAGATCATTCCAGCAAGTTTTTTAGTATTAGGAAGAGTCCTGTCCTGGGTGAGGGGCACAATTAATTATATTCTATTCACTCAAAGAATGTATCTCAATGGAAACAATACATTTGGTTATTCAGATTTAAACTTAGTCTCTTCTGAATTTAGATCTCTAGGAAATTAGCTTAAGTCTCAGATCTCAGTGTACTAACATTCTGACCTCCCAGATGACTTTGCCAGGCAGCTCTGTGTCATTTGGACTTTACTTCACAATAGATAGTGTCAAACGAACATCGTGGGCCAACAGGACTCCCTGGTTTGGGGTACAAGGGAAGAAGGAAACTTTATGCTGCTGAAGTACCTCAGTTGTGACACAGCAGGGGCTGTGAAAACAGTAGTACTATCAGGTAGCCCTGGAGCCAGGCCCCTTTCACGATAGACAGCACTGCTCTCATCTGCTCCACCTTTTAGTCTGTGGTGGAAAAGGAAAAGCCCTTCTAGAACTACAGGGAAGCTGACTTACACACACCAAAGCTCCCACCCCTGGTCCCTGATTGGTTTGTCCATAGAAAGGAGGATTCCAAATCCTTTCAGTTTGATTGGGCCAGAAAACAGTCCTGATTGGTCAGAATGGAGCCACTCTGATTGGGTCTGTGTGGAAGCTGAGGTCTGTAGCTGCACAGCTCCAGTTGGATGGGAAAGCCTCAGTCCAGTTGGTTGAAATAGAATTCCAGGAACTCCTTTATAAGAGTTGGCCGACTATTTCAGGAACGCTGTGCAGCCGGGCAGTTCAGTGCAAGAGGCAGGCTGCTTGGTGCAGGCTTCTCCCTGAAGTACAGTTTGCCTGAGAAGCCTATACAGAAATGGCTGCTAGGGTCTGTTTTTTTTAAAATTTGAGCCCAGTTAGCCACCAGGAGCCCTTCTTAGGAGGCATCTTCTTTCTCAGGGTCCCCAATAGTAAATCCAATAAACATAACTCAGTGGTTATTTTTAGTCTCTGTCTTGTGAATGCCTAGTTTCTAATTAAATACTAACCAACTTCATGGAATTGTTGTGAGAATTAAATCAGTAAGTACATGTAGAGTACTTGAAAACAGTTTGATTTTATTTCCACAAAGGATGTCTAATTTACATAATAGAGAAAACCTTAGTATCTTTGACCGTTACTTACTTAAAGTTAGACCGTTATTGGTTAACTGGGCTATTTACGGGCACCAGTTTTAAGATTGTATTAAAAGATGGATCAGTAACAGTTTTAGCACAGTTCTTGTGAATAGGTTGCCGGAAAATCAGACTAGTAAATTGCTAATTTTTATTGGGGACTTGTTGATGCTAATGGTTCTATAAAGCCTTATAAAACGAATTTCAAACTTTGAAATGTTTATTTTCTGGTATAAATTTTAAAACCTTGGTGAAAACCTAGTTTCTGTTCATTGATATATATATATATTTTTTAAACTAATCCTTTCAGGTTTGTGACTGGTTGTATCCTCTAGTTCCTGATAGATCTCCAGTTCTTAAGTGTACTGTGGGAGCCTACATGTTTCCTGATACAATGTTACAAGCATCAGGATGCTTTGTTGGGGTCGTCTTGTCTTCTGAATTACCAGAAGATGATAGAGAACTCTTCGAGGATCTGTTAAGACAAATGTCTGACCTTCGGCTCCAGGTAACTTGTGTGGTTGTTTTTAGGATGAAAATCTACTTTAACGTAAGCCTAGGCATTTTCACCCCAGAGTTCACAATCTTAGTCAATATTTATAGCAAATTCCAAACTTGTATTTGTGAACACACAAGCAAATTAGTATATAATACGTTAGAAGGATATAAGAGCTACAGAAGAAAACGGAGCATAAGATTATAGGAAACAGGAATTCTGGTGTGGGTGGGGCAGGTGCAACTGTAAATACAGAAACAAGCATTTGGGGGGGGCGGGGGAAGCATTTTTTTTCTGATATTTATAAAGGATTTCAGAATTGTAGAGGGCAATTATTCAGCCAGTGGTTTTGTTAGAAGGTAACCCTACAGAACGGGATTTGCTATATCTGCCCTTTGGTGCCTGCTGAGTTCACTCACTCTATGGATGTATCTCTTATGTGCCAATTGGGTATTGCTCTGGTCTGGCTTGAAGCTGGCCACCAGATGTGTTGGTTCTCTTGGGGGGTACTCAGGTATTTGCCAAAGTCAGCTGCTGCTTGCGCTCAGTCCAGGGCTACCTGGTAGGAGCTACATAGTTATCTGCTATTGGTAGCTGCCTGTGTTTGGGTTTGGGAGGAGCCTGGGAAAGTCTATACTGGGAACTGAGGCTGGCTGCCACCAGTGCCAGGCTTGGGGCCACTTAGCAAGAGGTACAGGGCATGCTGAGGCCATTTGCTGTTTATTTGGGGCTTGTGGACTTTTGAGAGATTTTAGGGAAGTTTGCAGTATAGGCAGAGGCCAGTTGCCTGTGTAGAACAGCTGCTGAAAGAGAGTAAAGAGGTGCATGAGTTGGGTGGGGCAGGATCTCAGCGAATCATGAGTGTTGGGGGAGAAAGATGTTATTTGGGTTAATAGAGACTTAGATATGGTGCTCAACGGTTGAGGGGAGGGCTAAACTAAGGAACAATGGCACCCTGCCAGCACTTCTATCTGGGAGAAAGCTGTCCTTCCAGCCCTCGTTCTGAAGCCAGACAATTCAGTTCTTCCCTATATTATGTTCCTGGTGTTTGTCAAGCTGTTGCCCCTTTGTTGGAGCTTAGGGCAAATGTTTGTGAGTGAGTCTGTACCCAGGCACTTTAAAAGCATGCCTGGATCTAATCTCCACTGATTTTCATAGCCAGCTGTTGTGGGGACTCTTTGCTCCTCAGGGGTAGCCTCCACACCTGAGATATGCCTCCTGTTTTTCAACCACCACATGTGAGTGTGGGACCAGCCCATTTTGAGTCTCTGCCCATTTTACCAGTCTTGACATGTCTTCTTTATATCCTTAGTTATAGGCGTTCTGTTCAGCTAGTCTTCAGGTGGTTCTCAAGTTGGTTGTTCTATTATTTATTTGTTTATTTATTTATTTGTTTGTTTTTATCCTCACCCAAGGATATTTTTTCCATTGATTTTCAGAGAGAGTGGAAGGGAGAGAGAGAAAGAGAGAGAAACATCGATGTGAGAGAAACACATCGATTGGTTGCCTCCAGCTCGCTCTGGACCAGGCTGGGAATTGAGCCTGCAATTGAGGTACATGTCCTTGGCCAGAATTGAACTGGGACCCTTCAGTCCAAAGTCCGATGCTCTAACCACTGAGCAAAACTAGCTAGGGCTGTTATATAATTTAGTTGTAATTTTTTTTTTTTTAATCCTCACATGAGCAATTTTTTCCATTGATTTTCAGAGAAAGTGGAAGTGAGCAGGGAAGAGAGAGAGAAACATCGATGTGAGAGAGACACATCAATTTGTTGCCTCCTGCACGTGCGCCAGATGGGGCCAGGGATCAAACTTGCAACCCAGGTACTTGTCCTTGACCGGGAACCAAACCCGAGACCCCACAGTGCATGAGCTGATGCTCTAACCGCTTAGCAACACTGCCATGGGCAATTTAGTTGTAATTTTGATGTGGGCATGAGATGAGGCAAACACAGCTTTTGCCTACTCCACCATCTTGACCAGAAGTACATTTACAGTATTTATTGAAGAAAACCCACATATAGGCAGGAACATGGTGAAATATATATGAGGGTAAGTCTTACTAGCTTTACTGTTTACTGGCAGAATGAAGTGACATTCTTTAGTACTCCAGACCTATCATGGAGCTGTTTTTCCTTTCACCCCTACATTCATTGGACCTATATTACTGGGACTTTAGGAAAGAAATTAAACTGATTTTTAGGTTATATATATATATACTTCTTTTTTGAGTTCCATTTTTTGGTTGCATGTTGTTTTCAGTTTGCTCTGTTTTCCCAAAACTCCAGCTGTAAATAAAAATTAGTTGTAGCAATAATTTTGACCTATCTTTTTTACTCTTAAGTATTCATTCAGCAAAGTGTATGCTAGCAGAATACCTTTAGTATTAATTGGAAAAAAAAATCAACAGTTTTCCAACAATGCAGAGTATATAAACTGGACATGAGTTTTGTTAATTGCCTTTAAACTTACTTAGTCTTACATATGTTCCCTAAAACTTACTAATTATTATATAATTAAATTCAAATGTAGCTGCATTTGACTGAATGATAGCTTATACCACCAACAAATTGCTGTAAGTTTTTAATTCTTTGTCTTTTGAAATTTCGCTTAGGTTTGTACGCTATAAACTAATGAACTCAAAGGTTTGAGGTTTGGCGATGAGATAAAACTGAAGTATAGGGGAAAGACAAAAGTAACTATTTAAAATGAGACTTATATTATTAGAACACTGTACTGTAGCTTAGAGGAAGGTCACCTGGGAAAAGTCATATTTCATCTAAGCTTAGTCCTTTACTTCCTAGGCGAACTGGAACCGGGCTGAAGGAGAAAATGAATTCCAAATCCCTGGTAGAGCAAGATGCCCCTCTGACCAACTAAAGGAAGCCACTGGCTCTGATGTGAGACAGTTGGGTCCTTCAGTGGACCAAGACAGTAAAGATGTACGTCATAAAGGAAAACGGGGTAAAAAGGTAAGTAAAAGACCAATGAGGTGTGTGTGTGTGTTCTAATTGAAGGTACCTTTAACCAGTTTCAATTATTTTAAGATCTTATCCCCATTTACTAAAAAAAAACAACTCATGGAGTCACAGAGTGATCATTAGTAAACATAATTAGCAGCTTTAATATTTCCCTTTCCAAGTGTTTGTTAAAGTGTTTTAAAAGATATTCCATGTTTTGAGGGATAGGTTTTTTTTTTTTGCAACTATTTGAAAGATTTTTATATTTACCTTAATAATGCACGTACTTTTTTGTTTTGTGTTGTTCTCCACCTTCTTATGTACACCAGGATCTTGGGGCTAGGTATGCTTTTTCTTAGACTGCCATTTTTTTTTTTTAATATATCTTTTTCAGAGAGAGGAAGGGAGAGGGGGGAAGAGAGAAAGAGAGAGAAAAAAACATCAATGATGAGTTATTGATCAGCTGTCTCCCTCCTGCATGCCCCCCACTGGGGATCGAGCCCAAAACCCGGGCATGTGCCCTGACTGGGAATCAAACCAGGATCTCCTGGATCATAGGTTGATGCTTAGCCACTGAGCCACACTGGCCGGGCAAAACTGCCATTTTTATTCCATTCCTTAGTTCTTAATGGATAGTCAACAAGACAGGATGGGTAATTTAACATATTTTGTAGTTACTTAGTAGTTTATTCTTTTATTTCTTAGATTCTGAGTATATGGTATGCTATAAATGATAAATCTGGATTAGAGTTAGTAAGTAGTAAGTGCTAGAATGCTGAGCATAGCTGGAAAAGTTTAAATTTCTCATCTCAAGGAATTGACCATCTAGTGGAAAGGACCCGTTAGCAAATAGATCATTTCTATCTTGTGAGATTATTAGATGAAGGTACATAGACTGTATAGAAAGCTAGGTTGTACCTTCTATCTAATGTATTACCTGGCCTCAGAAAAAAGTGTGGGCATATTGCTGATGTGAGGAGCAGTCAAGAGGCTCCTCCTAGAGGACATGATGGCTAAGATTAGTCCTGAAAGATGAAGAGTTGGCCATATAAATAGCAGGTTGAAGGGTATTATAGGCAGAAGTAGTAATATAAACAAATGTATAAAGAAAGAAAATAGCATTGTGTGAGTATTGAATTATAAGCAATTTGGTATTGTTTACTGTTGTATTCCATATTGTAAGTGCTCAATAATATCTTTGGAATTAATGATTGTCAGGTGAATATTCTATATTTACTTGAAAAGTGTCACTGTGGTTTATATTGAACATCTTAGACTAGTTTTATGAGGACATTGGGAGTCCAGAGTGGTTCCAAGAAATATATTTATTAAAAAAAAAATTTTTTAAGTTAATGCACCAAAAAACCCAACTAAATTCAAAAGGTAAAAAAAGATACATAAGTGAAAAGCAAGTTTGCCTCTCCTTCCTGTCCCCCATCCTCCTAGCTCCCAGCTCTACATTGTTATTAGCTTCTTATTTTTCCAGATATACTTTATGCGTATTAAAATACATATTTATATACATATTTATTTCATGGGGATATATATATACATGCACATATGTATAATTTTTACTACAAATGGCGGCATGTAAGATACACTATTTTGCTCCTTGCTTTTTACTTCACAGTACACTTGGAAATTTTTCCACATAAGTTAGAACTTCATTTTTTAAAAATTTAATATTGCCCAGCCAGTGTGGCTCAATTAGTTGAACGTAGGCTCATACACCAGGAGGTTGCTGGTTTGATTCTGACCAGAAGACATGCCCAGGTTGCAGGCTTGATCCCCCAGTAGGGGCTGTGCAGGAGGCAGCCGATTGATGTTTCTGTCTCATTCATGTTTTTCTCCCTCTCTCTCCCCCCTCCCTCTCTCTGAAATCAATGAAAAATATTTAAAATATAAATAAATAAAATAAAAAATTTAATATCTTGGTTAAAAAAATCAAATTATATAAAAAGCATTGAACAGCTTTACCCTCACCTTTGTCCATGTCCACAACAGTTCACTGCCACTGTAGGCAGTCACATTTATTAGGATCTTGTATTTTTTCACTGGGTTTCTTGAGGCAAATAAAAGCACATAAAGCTTACTATTTCTCACCCTCTCTTTACAAAAGGTAACATCATATAGAGTGTCCTGTGTTTTTTTATTTGATAAAAAATTGGGGGGATCATTCCACGTCAATAAATAGAGAACTTCCTCAATTTTTTTCCCAGCTACTATGTATTTCATTGTGTGAATATGTCATAATTTCTTTTACCAATTTTTTGTTAACAGGTATTTGGCATGATTCCAGTTTTTTGCTATTATAAACAATACTTCGGTGAATAACTGTAAATCTATTGATTTATACATTTGTAGGTAATTCATCAGACAGATTTGTAGAAGTGAGGTTACTGAGTCACAAGATAAATGCATTTGTAATTTTGATAGATTTTGCTAAGTTGCCCTCCCTAAGGATTATACTGTTGAGCACTCCCACCAGCAGTGTATGAAAGTACCTTTTCCCATAGCCTGGTCAACAGAGTTTGGTGGTCAGCATTTCTGTATTTTGGCAGTCTGATAGATGAGAAATGGTATATTGGAATATCTTAATTTGCAATTTTATTATGAGTGATGTTGAGTATCTGCTTAAGGGTTCCTTAAATTTTGTTTTCTCTATGATGTCTGTTAATGTCCTTTATCCATTTTTATTACTGAGTTCCTAGTCTTTTTCTTCTCAGTTTCTAGGAGCTATATATATTTTACAGATACTGGCCCATTGTCAAATATTTTCTTAAATTTGTATTTAGTTTTTACTTATGAGTGGCTTTTCCCCCTTGTAGAAGTTTTTGTTTTGTTTTAATGTTTTATATTTTAAGTGAAGTTCTCTTTGATTTCTGTTGGGAAGTTTGATTTTCAAATTATAAGGTCTGAGTTAGCCTGCTCCTAAGCTCTTGAAATGAATAAATTTAGTTTTGAGATTTTGAGTGTTGGCTCTAGCTCTCATAATAACTATTCAATTAGCAAATTACAGGTATATCTGTTCCCATTTCTGTTCGAATGGAATGTCAGGTTGTTCTGTGTTTATATATTTTTTACTTGCTTTTACTTGGGTTTTGTCAAAACCAGTTTATTTGGATACATCTTCCTCATTTAACAAATCTCCTAATCTCACTGAGTACTGTGTGCATGCTAATATCTAGGGGGTGATAGCAATATGAAGGAACTCATAGTCTCTTCAAGGAAAGAAAAATGTCATTTTAAATATGATTTGATAGATGCTGTATTGGAGATATGTTGGTATTTAAATCTTACCACTGGGACTGTATATAAGACCACAGTTTTTATCTTTATGGTATTTCACCTTATGCTATAAAATGTACTGGTAACTAGGTTAGCCGGAGATATTTTCGTTAATTATATGGAGTATTTGTTGGCTTAATATTTTATTACATAAGGCTTATAATTTTTCCCCCTCTTAGTACTTTACTGTTTCACATTTGAAACATGTTTACTATTTAGGCTAAAGGTACTTCAAGTGAAGAAGTTAATCTGAGTCATATGGTACCCTATGAGCCAGTTGCAGAAGAAAAAGCAAAGGAATTACCTGAATGGAGTGAGAAAGTGGCTCAAAACATTTTGTCAGGTATTACAGTAATGCTAACTTTTTCCCCTTTACTGTGAAACCTTTGGGACCCATAAGAGAATATTTAGAAAGATAACATTTTATATTTTGGTTATAAATGGTCAGTTTATAAACACTTAGACAAAAATAAAAGGAACATATTGTCATATAGGTGTAAGTTCTTGGTCTGTTCTCTTTTACTCTTAGGAAAATTGATAGTGAAAGGCTTTAGGAATCTCCAAACTCTCAAATAGTTTTGAACGTGAAATTAGTTATTTTCCATTTCCCTTTGAAATTTCCCCTTAATCCTTTTATTTTCTCCCCTTCTTCCCTCTACACAACCAAAAAATGGTAAGATATTCGTCTGTCTTTGGAAACAAAGCAGCACTCCCTAACCACAGAGCAATGCAAGCATGAGAAGATCTGAGGATTACAGCCAAGCTGTTTTGGAAGTAGGCCCTGCTATTTAATTATGGTTAGAAAGGGCTTCAGATCAATTATTTTAAAACTTGAATGGTTATTACTGATATATATCTTTCTTTAATTAATATTTTAGCTTTTCAACTGTAGTAGCTCTCAGATTTAGACCACCTATTTTAGTTTTAAAAAACATTGCCAGTTACTATTCAGTAACCCAAATTTATGACTCAGTAAAGGGACCTGCACCAGTCATTTAAAGGACTTATCAATATAGGTTTCCATCTGTAGTAAAAATTCATTAAACTAATAAAGGTGTTTAAAGCAGAGGAAATCAACATGAAAAACCAACAAGCTAAAATAAGTGAAAAAGAACCAGTTAGTTGGGAGCTAACAAATTATTTTGCCCAGTGTCAAAATGCTGCTTGAGATAAGAAGGAAAGATAAAGCCAGTTCTTTAAATTATAATTGTAACAGTTAAAATTGATCCTTGAAAGAGATTTTCAAAGAAATTGTAAAGAAAAACCTTTATTCTTACTACCCTGCCCCTTACCTTTATAGGCTGCTAAGCTGTTATTAGGTCAATAGTCATGTGTGCCTGTATTCACACCTGTAGATAATTACATTCAAAGCTCATTTTCTTAAGTCTTTTGAGTTTATACTGCTATAAGATTATCCACTTACTATTAGTGTGTAACAGACTATCCCAAACTTAATCTCATGAAACGAGAAACATTTGTTTATGCTTAGGAATTCTGTGGGCCAGGGATGGCTTGTATCTGCTTCATGATGTCAGGGCCTCAGCTAGGAAGACTCTGGCTGACTAGTAACAATAGCTGGGGGGCTGGAATCACCTGAAGCTCCTTCATGTACACATCTGACACCTGGGCTAGGAGAACTCAAAATCTAGAACTGACAAATGGAGTGCGTGCACGTGGCCTATCCATTCAGCTTGACTTTTTCAGTATGATGGCCTTAAGGTAGTCTGGTATATGTGGTAACTCAGTTCCAAGTGTGAATGGTCCAGCAAACAGGCAGAAGCTGCATTACCCTGACATACTCTTTGTAAATTTCCACATCACTCATTACAAGCAAGTAAGAAGCCTGCTTAGATTCAAGGGGATAAGACATAGACCCCACTTCTCAATGGGAAGAATGTCAAGATCATGTTGAAAGAACAGGTGGGAATAAGAAGACACTGTTTTTGGACATCTTTGGAAAATATCACCTACCACAATGTCTTAGGCCTCCTAGGTACCACACAGATTCTACAGACTGGTTCTACTCAAGGAGGTGAAGCATCTTTAGAACCATCTAATCTTGGGGAGTGATCTCTTTAGAGCTTTCAAAATAACTCTCAGTGTCTTCAGGCTTGTAACTCTTTTCCTTTTCATACTATACTCTTAGGAGATCTAGGAAGACCCCTAACAGTTGCTCACATTAAAATCATTTAAATGTCAGTTAGAGTATATGTCTCCTTATGTGCTTTTTAATAAGTAGAATGAAAAAACACTAGCTCACCAAATACTTAAGGCACAAGTAGCAAAGAAAGGTGCAGAAAATACTGAAGATTTACCCCAGGGAAAATTATCTGATTTGTCAAGAAAGTATTCTATCTGACTCATGCAGGCTCTGTACAAAGATGAGTAATCAGGTATCTAAATTGAGTTCATTCACCATAGCCCAAGATTGATTCCTGTTCACCTGTCAAAGGATGAGTAAAATCAGTAAAATTTACAGTCTTTTATGAATGTAAAAGCTGAAAAATAAAATAACTGCTTAAAATTTACCTGTGTAAAATATTGGCTTGAGAAGTCTAGAGTTACATTTTAAGAAGGCAACTGCCAAACATTTTAGATGGAATAGAGTCTAATAAGCTAATTTGGGAGGAGGTAGAGGATTGGTGATAATAGACTGAACCTCTCATTTATTTAGCAAACATTCATGGCCTGGTATCTCTCAGCATAAACTGGGTGCATAGGATGTGAACATGGATAGATTAAATGTATATCTGGCATTACACATGCCATTTAAAAGCTCTTAATGGCTACCAATGAAATGCTACATTTCCTTATCTTCTATTGCAATGTCTACAGTTTTAACGTATTTACTACTCTATTATGCTCTTCCACGGTAATGGCTTGTTTATAACTTGCATCTAGTATTTCTCATAATTAGTCCTATGACTTTTCATTTATCTCATTTCCATTTATTTTTCTCAGTCATCAATCGACTTCATCCCTCATTTGTTAAAGAGTTTCATTGTAGCTGTTCAGTCTCCTTGGGCTCTCCTTTGTTTCGTTATCATTTATTTTATGGTATCTCACTCTTCCTTTTTCACGTTCAGCTGTTTTTTACTTCTTAAAACTTTTCAATCTATAACTTAACTCTAGAAACACATAATTATTTTTTGAATAGACATCTTCAGTCCCTTTATTGTTACGGTAATTCATGGATGGAACCTGTTTGCCTGGGTTTGAGACCTGATCCTCTCCGCCAAGGGTAGGACAGTGGTAGCAGGGTTGGAACTGGAGGTAGACATGTTGACTGAAACTCATCAGTTTTTCAATCATTTATACTTGGCACTTTTCATTGCTAGCACTTTTAAATAGGTGTGGATTTCACATGATCACTGGATACTTGCTCACTCATAGGTTGAAGTAATTATGTAAGAGCCATGCCACAGACCTTGGGAGAAGATACTTAAGTATTTTATATGTGCAGTTTTAAAAACTTGTTTCAGGGTATTGCCAAAAAGGAAATAGTTAAAATGATAAGCTCTCTTCAGGGCAGGGTAACACTTTCCTCCCCCTCTTAGGGGGAACCTTTCTCCTTGTGTATCTTATCTTGCTTCTCCCATTTCCTTCCCACTTCTTTCGCCACATGCCCCTTGGGAGCCTTTTCACTAGAGAAGTTTCTGGCATCCTGCTTTCTCTCTGACAGCCTCTTTCTGTACAAGAAACCCAAGCAAAGCAAAGGACGAGAACCTACTCTCATGAGATATGGTTATACCATCTAGGCCTCTCAATTTTCTTCTCTAGATATTTCTTCTCATGCATTCCTTGGGTGTTTTCATGTCTTTGTCATTCAGATTTATGTTGCAAGCTAAAAAGTGCTGAGACCCAGAGGTTTGGGTTTAGGATTGAGGGAGGAACAGGACCCCCTGCCTTATGCCTTTAGGCTAAAGCAAGTAAGCAAGAGTTCTGCCTTGGTGTTTGAGATATAGGTTCCTTGGTTTCCAGTTAGCATTCTTTGTGTCTGTCACCCTAAAGGACTCAATGGGGAGAATGTGGTGCCTGGACTAAGGCAAAAAGAACAAGGATACCTAGGTCCTCTAGCCAAGTACTATCTTAATGGAACCACAACCCCAAATTAGTCCCTAACAATAGTATATTGTGGTATGCAGAGAGACCTACAAGTTGTAGTGGCAACAAAGAGTGCTACAGAACTCTTATTGAGTGATATATGATATAAATATTAAAGATGAATTTACTTAGAATATGTCTATATTCCAGGCAGAAAACTGTAAGTGCAAAGTTGGCTTGAATGGCATGTTTGGAATCTGATATTTGAACTCCTTGGATTTTTTCCTGCTTATCAGTTAGTTAAAGGGTTTAAAGGAACAATCAGCCTATAATATTATGTGCTTCAAAATTTTCTTTTAAAAGGTGCTTCCTGGGTAAGTTGGAGTTTAGTCAAAGGTGCTGAATTTACTGGCAAAGCAATCCAGAAAGGTGCCTCTAAACTCCGAGAACGGATTCAACCAGAGGAAAAACCAGTGGAAGTTAGTCCAGCTGTGACCAGGGGACTTCATATAGCAAAGCAGGCTACAGGAGGAGCAGCGAAAGTCAGTCAGTTCCTGGGTAAAGTAACTTGAGATGTCTTTACTTCTTTTCAGTTAAATGAAAAAGAATCAAATTAATATGAATGCTCAGTTTAGATGGTTTAACTTTAAGAGTAAATAATTAGGACAAAACAGTTTCACCTTCCAACTCATAGTAGAATCTGTAGAGCAGCAACATCAACCTGTCAGAAAGCCTTAACAGTATTTCTGAAGTTGGCATATCTACTGCATTTTTATGCGATCCCTAGGTGATTCTTACTTGCATATAGAGAGGATGAGAAACACTGGTTAAAGTTGTTTTGATTATGTTGGAGAGGAGAGCATCTGTGCCTTGGAAAAGGAATGGTCCTGAATATGTGTTTGCTATCCTTGAATATTACACTTCTTTTAAGGACTATTCACTGCATGGTAGTTGAGGGTTAAAAGAAAAGGGATACAGTATATTGTTTCAGTAAAGCTGATTTAGTGATTCTGGTGTCAGCCTTCCCAAGCACTATGCTTCTAACCCCTTTTCCTTTGACAGCTCTAAAGTATGGTATTTTAAGATGGTTAGATAGCTTCTTAATGGTTTATCTTTAAATTTTGTAAGATTATCTTTTTGGTATCTAGTTTTCTTTTGAATCAGATTTTGGTTTGTTTACTTTTATGTAGACTTAAATATTTTATTACTATTTCAGTGAGATACTTGCTGATATGGAGGAAAAATACAAATACCCTTAGATGGAAAACCTGAAAGGTGGAGCTACCCATCTTATATTGCAGCAATCAGATAGAAAAGATAGATCATTTTCTTTTAAGCAAATTGCCAAAAAGAACATATATTTGAGGCAGGATTAAAAACATCAATAGGCTCTGCAGACATATCCTTAAACCAAACAATAGACTTTGTTTAAAAAATAGCCAGTCTTGGTTCTTATCCTTAAACAGAAATGGTAACATGCAGTAAAACAACTTTAGATGCTTGTATAAGAATTTTGCTAAATAAGAATGGTAAAATCAAGGGAAGAATACATATTTTTTAAAGTTTTGTGTTTTTTTACGGTTATATTAGTTGATGGAGTTTGCACTGTAGCAAATTGTGTTGGAAAGGAACTAGCTCCACATGTCAAGAAGCATGGAAGCAAACTTGTTCCAGAATCTCTTAAAAAAGACAGAAATGGGAAGTCTCCCCTGGATGGCGCTATGGTTGTAGCAGCAAGTAGTGTTCAAGGTAACTAAAGGCCAGAAATTTAAACTAGGAAGATCTATTTGCTGTGGGCTAGTTTTACTTACTTTTAAATGTATTTGCAGGATTTTCAACTGTCTGGCAGGGATTGGAATGTGCTGCTAAATGCATTGTTAACAATGTTTCAGCAGAAACTGTACAAACTGTCAGATACAAGTAAGTTGAATTTTATCATTTCAATGACTAAATGTCTTACAGCATTTGTAAAATCCAGAACAGTTGAAATGATTGCGTAGTTATTTTTATTAAGTATCTGATAACGTTTTTCACTTGCTATTTTTCTCAAGTAAGGAAAATATTTTTAGCAAATAATAGAATTACTGTGATTTTTTTGCCTATTACTAATTGTTATAAATATCTGTTCATTAATGCAAAAACATAGATTTATTTTTTAAAAGCCTAGAGTTTTTGTATACTTAATTAACTGCATGTTCTTGATGGGTGATATTTGTCTGTAGTTTTGATGGGAAAAACTGAATTATAATTAAACTGTTGTACTTTGTTAATATTAGCTCTTTCTGTATATGTATGAAGAATGTTAAATTTTGTCACATCTTATTTGAATCTACCACTATACATTTATATTGGAATGGACAGACATTAATGATTTGCCCAAGCTCATCTGAATAGTGCTGGTATTAAAAATGAGACTTAAAACAGGATCTTCTGATTTTACCTCTTTATTCTGTCTTCATATATATAAAGGACCTGAGTTGCTTTCTTAGCTTTGAATTAGTTTAGATCTTAATATTTAATGTTTTTATAATATTAATGGTGTTCTCAACTTCTAGTTATTTGTGTTAATTATCTACTCACTGACAACATTCGAGTTCATACTTTTGTATTAGATATTGTACTTAATGCTTTTCATGGGTACTGTATTATTTAATCTTTAAGGCTATTATCTCCATTTTACAGATGAGGAAACCAAAGCATAGAGCTGTTAAATACCTTGTTAAAGATTATACCCCCAGTAAGTAGTAGAGCTGGGATGTAAGCCAGGTGTCCTTTGTCTGCAGTGGACAGATGATAGAGAATGGCCACCACTACCAGACATCTGTGCAAGTTTAGTATCTAGAGTTACTTTCTACCACTACCTAGCATGTATTTAGATTCCTTCCCAACACAGTACATTACCACTGGCTTGGGAAATACTGTCTTAGTTTCCTACGTTGATTTGATTTGTTCAGTCTGAGGCATGCATACCTTTGAATTAAAGCAACTTAGCACGTCATCTTGGAGTGTCAGTTTTACCAAAAGATTTGGAAAAGAAAATACAGAGCAGATCTGAGAATCTTTTGATGGAAATGTAAAATCCAAGTCTCCCTGCTCAGTTCTTGCTACTTGTGGCATTGATTTTTGACGAATACTCTTTGTGTTATGCCTCTGAGGTTACTTTGATGGATCAGCTGTAATTAGAAAAATAGTTTCTTTTGTTGCAAGAGCAGAAGGACAGAAGTGCTTTTAGACCCAAAGTGAATTATTTTTAGATTAACGGTATCATTTGTTAGCACAGATACTTAGGCAGCCGTATTAGAATGTAGGAAATGCTTTATTGGTTTTGTCCATTTCCTACTTCAATAGGAAAAAAATGCTTGCCTAAGTACCATTAAGTAGAGCCTTCTTAAAGCTTCTTAAAGCCTCACATAACTAAGGAAGTACAGGTTTTGGTGTGGATTTTGTACATTGAGTCCTTAATAAAGAAACCTTAATATGATAAATAGGATATTTTAGCAGTGGTTCTGAATTAATTTATTTCTGTTATGATGTGTGTTGCTATTCTTTTTATCCTTTCCTCCAAAGATCCATGGAGTGATAAAAAGCAGGAAAGTGGGAATTTAGTTAGGTAGGTTTGTATTTCTAACTATAAGGGTACTTTAATCTTAACAGTGATTTGAATAGAAACTTGGAAAGATGGATGGGACAGCGGGGGAATAAAGGGTTTTGTCCAAGGAATACTGTTTTAGCACTCATTAATAATCTGGCCCAGAACTAGAAATTGTCTTTTAAGAGAAGAAACTGCAAGTATTAAACCGGTCATTTATCATTGAAGAAATGGAAGAGCTAGTTGTTCTTTCATTTAATTTTGTTGTCGTTTATTTGCATAAATTGATATTTATTAACATGTGTGAATGTAAAGTAATAAATTGATATTTACATTTGAATTTTCATTTATTTATACTATGAAAAAGTATGTTTTTCTACTCTAATCCAACTGATGATAGTATAAAAGAAAATTTGCATTCATATTACCTACGATAAATTTCTCTCCCAGTAGTTATTTTAAATTTTCCTTAATTCTATTCCTTGTACTTAGGAGAAAGACACATGCCTTATGTAAATTTTCTTAATCTGATTTCTGGTGGTATAAACCAATACAGAGGATTATCTTTTTCTTTTAGACATATTTAGAAGCAGATTGTGTTAAGAATAGTATATTTTCTATGTCTTTTATGCTTTTGATTATGGATCAGGACCATGTTCATTGATTATGAATGGTTTGTTTACCTGAGGATCTATATAGTTAATTACACTCTTAAATTTTTAGGTAAATGTATAGGAACTATTCGTTAAGACTATTTTTGTCAGTTACATTAATACTTTTGTCTTATTTTAGATTTAGGAACATGAAGAGCTGCAGGAACAATGAAAAGCAATAAGTAATTTGAAACCTGCTGTACTTAATTGCAGTATAGTATCTACTAAATAATTCAGGGGTGGGGAACCCTTTTTCTGCCAAGGGCCATTTGGATATTTATAACATCATTCGAGTGCCATACAAAATTATCAACTTAAACATTAGCCTGCTATAATTGGTCAGACATTAATTAACTCACCCCTGATGAGATGGCTGGAACTGCTTCTCTTTAGTGAGGCTTTGGCAGGGCCAGACCAAATGATTTCCCCCGAGAGCTGGATGTTTCCCATCCCTGAAATAATTCATCACTGTTCTATATAGCTTCTGAATTTACTTTTAAGCACCTTTTTTTCCACTTTAAATTGTTTAGAGGAAAATAATTTAAGTAAGTTAGGTTCGTTTTTGCTCTCCCCTCAGTAATATTTTATCTTAGAACACACATTTGTGAAGAATAAACTTAGTAAAAATATTTGCCTATAAGGAATTTACTCTTTTAAGGTATAGTGTTCTATTGCTTTGTTTAGTGAATTTTAATTAAAATTCCTCTTAAATTTGCACTGGGTAAAGGGGCAAATTCAAGTCCATCGAGGGTAACTCTTTTGGCAGATGCCGTATTATCCAAAACCAGTACTTTATAACATACTCAGGAGTTATATCGGATCAGTTTACTCTTTTCTGTTGGTAACTATACAAATATTTAGACACCATCATTATATCCTTCACTTATTTTTTTGTCTTCTAAATACTCTCAGTTCCTTGAACAATTTCATACACAGTATGATTTCCGTATCCTTTATTCATCAGCGTTCTTTTCAAAATATGGAACTCAGAAGTGAATCTAATATTCCAGATTGAATGCAGCAGGATTTGCCACCTTTGTTTTGATCACATTTAGCATTTGATAAATGCAGCACCCAAGACAAAGAGTATATGTTTTTAGAAGCTATTATTTTATTGACCCATATCAAAGTTGGTTTGATGGTTTTAATGATCCTTTTATTGAAAATCTAAACTTACATCTTATTTTTGGACACTTTGATATTTGTACCTAAAATTAAGAACTTCACATTTACACTTACTTAATTCCACTTTGCTAATTTTGACTCATCGTTAAGTTCTTCATTTTGGCTTCAGATTTTGATGTGTGTCATATTAACCTTCATTATGTGTTATCTGTAGATTTGAAAGACATGTCTTTTTTACATCTTAGAGTTTTTCCCCTCAACTTCCATGGATAATATCTATGCTTACTATAGCCTCTCCTCCTGATTGATCTTTCTCCAAGATTTAATTCTTTCTAAGATTGGTGTTTACAAACCTCTTAACAGTATAATCTCATGTAGCTTACTTTTCTTTCTTTTATTTATTTATTTTTTAAATATATCCTTATTGATTTCAGAGAGAGGAAAGGAGAAGGAGAGAGAGATAGAAACATCAATGATGAGAGGGTCATTGATCGAGCCCGTAACCGGGCATGTGCCCTGACCGGGAATCGAACCCCGATCGCCTGGATCCTAGGTCGACGCTCAACCACTGAGCCACGCCCAGCCGGGCTCACCTTTCAGTTTTGTCTTAGAACTACTACTCAAGGTTGTTGTCTTCCACACTCATTTGTTAAATATTGGTTCTAAGGTTTACTCTATGCTCTATCCTTTCTACTTTTCCTGGATATCATATATACCTATGACTACAGTTACCACCTATATACCAGCAACTCTCAATTCTATTTCTTATTAACTTTTCTCTTAATCTTCAGGCTTATATGTCCCAACCACATAACTACTACAATCATTCAGTCACCAGGTTTTTTTTGCTGTTCATCCCTTTTTCTCCAGCCTCTTTACCAGTACCTTAGAATATAACTCGTCCAGCTCACAGCTTGTTTCCTTAAATCCTTACAATTCACAATGCAGCCTGAGTGATATCTTTTTAAAACATAAGTTCGGTTATGCCATTCCCATTGATTTCAAGATAAAGTTTAAACTCTTCAGCTTCATTCTTCATAAATTGGCCATAGTCCACGTGCCATTAGTCTGTTTGGTGGATAGACTAATAAGCTGTTTCTATTTTAATTTTTTAAGGTTAATAGTTCTGAGAATAGTTATGACGTTTGTATGCAAAGTGAATTTTAGGCAGATTTGAAAGTTATTATGACTGAGATTTTGTTATAATTAGTGAAATTTAGAATTACTGCCAATGTGCTCTTTGTATACATTACTGAATGCACTGGAGAAAGTTCTGAAAAATGTCATTCAAGTTATAAATTGAACCCCATTGACTTATTTAGAGCATACTTTATATTCATTTTTTATTCTTCAATTGGTATGGTAGTAGCACTCTGTATATAAAATCTATTTTAAAAGCTCTAATTAAAATTAACTTTTTAAAAAGTAACAAATCAAAAATAAGCTTTATATTTTTGCCAGAGATAGGCTTTTTAGGAGTTTTCAGCAGTGTAGTTTGAATCTGAATGAAGAAAAGCACTGATGGATAGTATCTATAAGGTTATTTATCAAGGAAGAGAATAACAGATGCCTTCCAGGAATACTGGTTCTAAGACATATTGGGAAGCAGAGGTGATAGGTGAGGATATATTAAAAAAAATAACCCAACTGCTGAGCTATTTTACAAGGTCTTTAAAAATGTTTAGTATTATGGGAATTTTAACGTGCTTTAACATATCCCATTCATGAGATAAAGAAGAGGAAATTGATGAAGTGCAAAGAGGTTGAGACTTCACTAAGGTCATACCATTAGTTGGTATTAGAATCTAGTTTTCTGACTCTTAGTTTGGCACATTTTTCCAAATTAACAGGAATTGCTACTGAAGTGGAGATAGCATGGAAGAAGAACAAGCAAAATCAGGGCACCAACACAGACTGACTCCCTTTTTAGGACCTTATTAAAACGAATGTAGCATTTAAAATTGTGTTACATATAGAAATATTATGAGAGCATTTAGAGGTATTAAACTGAGTGGGTAGAATAGGGAACAGTCCAAATATTCAAAAGTGAAAGAAGATGAATCTGCAGAGGATTTCCTGTACTCAAAAACACTAAATGTGGCCAGATTCATAAGTTACCATGTCACTTCATTATAGCTTACAGTCCTGGAGAGATAAGCCCTAAGAGAAAGCTGCTTGACCAAGAATTGTTATGGTCACTTTTCTGTTGCTGAAACTGCTGCTGCCCCTTTCTTCTCATTCAGTCTTTGCCATTGCCATCTGATGACAGTATTGTGACTGGGTCTTGGTTGACAAGGAGAATGCCGATGTGTTTTGCAATATCAGCAAATCCTCTGGAATACTGAGGGATTGCAAAGCAACAGGGACTGGCAGGAAGCATTTCAGGAAGCTTTTCTGTCTGGTAACTAGGGAGAAAGCCCTAATCAAGACTGGTATAGATGTAAAGTTTGACAGATTGTAGGTTCTGCTATAGCAAAGGACAAAATGAAATCATCATTCAGGAGCATAGTAGATTACTTCACTTTTCTAACACTGAGATTGAAAAAAATCAAGCATGAACAAACTGGTAGGATCACAAAGCACCTGTTCTAGGCCAGGCTAATAGTAATAGAGGATGTGTTAGTTCAAAGGACAGATCTGGTGTTAATATAAAATGTCCAGGTCACAAAGCACCTAGGAAACTTCAGTATGTCCTGGAGAAAATTATAAAAATTTGCCTTTTTGTCATTTCTTGTTTAAGCAATCCTTTACTTGGAGAAGCCCATGAACAAGAAAATCTTTAAAAGTCTGGTATTTGAAAAAAGGTAAAGAGTAAAGCAAAACAGGTTAAATTTTAGTATTCTTGTATAGTATCTCAAATTATTTTTTCTCATAGAAATTGTATTAAATATATATATTGATTATTGCAGTAATAACTACTTTTGTATAGTGCTTGATAATTCCCCAAGTACTTTGCTATACATTTGATGCTTAAGAAACTGTGAGATGAATAGGGCAGGAAATGCTCATTTCATTTATTCAGCAAATAGTGAATGTCAGGTACTGTTCTGAGTGCTTAGGATACATTAGTGAACAAAGTGAAGAGTCTCTTTTTTTTTAGTCAGGTTTATATTCTAGTGAGACAATAAGCAAAACAAAAACAGTGGGCATAAATAAGTTCTATAGATATAGCAGATGGTAAGTTACAGAAAAGAACAAAGAGCAATTGAAGGGTGTAATTGGCAGTGGGGTGGGGCATGTGGGATAAAGCGATTTTAAATAGGTTTAAAATTGATAACAGACTTGAAGGTGAGGCAGTTAGCCATGTTGAATACCTGGGATGAGAGTAGTCTAGGCAGATCCAGACAGTACAAAAGTCAAGGTGGCACATGTGTGCTTGGTAGGTTCAAAGAACAGCAGGAGGGCCAGTGAGTACAGTGGGGTGGAGTGAGGGGAGACAGTGTTGAAGAATTTCTGCTTAAAGACGAACACAGATTCTGATAATTTAAAAGACTTAACCAGTCTAGTTAAGGTAGAACTCAGAACATTTATGATGACTTCAGATTCTTTGTGTCCTGCAGTTGCTTCAATGGAAATTCTCTCATATTTCCAGAGGGGATGATAAAAAAAGGAAATAATGACTGATTATCAATCTTTATTATAATTCATATTTTATTCTTCAACATAAACAGTCTTTATTACATTAATCTCAGCTAACCTTGGAGCTTAATTTCATACACAAGTTTTGCTAAAGGAGAAAATACAGCCTTAGTATAGTGTGATTTTATTCTTTCCTGTGTTTTAAGTTATTTATTAAATTGAAGCCTAACCTTTGATTTTGCTTTGAGGGATAACATGCTAACCATGTGACTTATTTAATAGTAATTCAGAAGACCTTAATTTATAATTTCATTGTACTTTCTCTAATCTTTCTTTTAAAGATATGGACATACTGCAGGAGAAGCTACACACGATGCAGTAGATTCTGCCATCAATGTTGGTGTAACTGCCTATAATATTGACAACATTGGCATCAAAGCAATGGTAAAGAAAACTGCTAAGCAAACTGGACAGACAATCCTTGAAGACTATAAAATAGCTGATAATTCAAAGGGGGAAAACCAAAGAGGGGGAGCAAATGTAAACATGAAAGGGGAGAAGGATGAGCAGACAGAGGAACTAGAGAAGAATGAAGCAAAGAAGAAAGATAAATGATGGATGGGCTGTGAATCACCAATACCAAAGCCTTACAAGACAGATACAATTGTGTTAATACGCAAATGTGGAATTCCCCACGGATTAACTAGTATTTTTTAAATGTACTCATTTCTACAAAGTGCATGTTTAATAAGTTTTATGACGTATTCTACTTATGAGGAGAATAATTGGTATTCTTTCATCTGGCTCTTTATATTCTCAGTAAGTGTATTTTTTTCTAAATGTGGCTAACATTTTTCCAGTTAAAACAAGACTAATAATACATTTGCCCTCATTAAACCTAATGTTAAACTATTTTTGTATTTGCTATCTTTCAGAAAGCAAAGTAGGAAATTATTATATATTTACATGAAATTTGGCATTTAGTAACCTTAGTTTTAATTGTACTGGGAAGGAATGACGTAAAATATTGTTTCTTCCTTTTGTACTAATTGTGTATTTTTTTTAGGTGCTTGTCAGTATTTCCAGTATATAAGCTAAACAAAAAGTATATTCCTAAACTAAAATATTTCTCAGATAACATTTAAAAGACTTTCTCAAAACAGGGAATAGACTAATCATGAAAAATAAAATGAGGCTCTATAAAATTATTTAGTAGCTTACCTTTTCATTAGGAAATGAGATGCTCTTTTAGACTTAAAATGAATACGGATAGATTATTAAGTCTTCTGGATTTAGACTGGTGTTGATCTATTAGGAGCCTGGGAAATTTGGGGGTATGATTGGTATTGCATTAAAATTTGAAGTGATTAATAATCAGCTTAACTGGACAAAAAAGTACTTTAAGAGATCATTTTGCCATATCTACTTCTGTAAGTTTTTCCAAAAGGCTACACTTTTGTGAAAACAAATATAAACAGTAGTGAGTTTATGGATGATAACTTTATTTTTATTTTGGAATTCATTGAATTTTATATATTAAAAAGCCAATAAATTATTAAAGGTTTTATTCATAATTAAAGTAAAGAATGTGAAGATGTTAGGCTTAATCCATGGTCAGTGGGCATCAGTTTCTCCTTTGGTAGAAGACAGGATATTCACAGACCTATAAACTAATGGCATTTTATTTTTGTTTAATGATTTTAAAAGATTGCTATTGGTTTTTATAGCTATCATCAGTTCTAGTATTTTTTGAACCTCTAATGTCTGTCTAGTTTATTAGACCTTATTTGAAACTGTAAATAATGCACTTTGTGAATAAACTGTCTCTGAATTACTTGGCCTCAAAAGTATTCATGGAGTTGTGTTTTGGGAACACAAAATTGATGGAGTCTTTTCCTAAGGCCAAAGATAATGTACTAGTTAAAATGGAAATCAAATTGAACTGGTAAATAGCTCCCAGTCAGCCTCTACCTTAAGAAATGTAATGACAAATAGTGGAGCTTACAAAGTTTAAAAAGTAACCTTAGACCAGATGTCAGCAAAATTGGATTTGTCAGTAGGTATCTAGATGATTGTTTTACTTCATCACTGTGTTCACTTGGTTGTGGATTGCCTTTTCAGGTTAATAGCTACACAAAATTTTGATAAGTATAGCTTCTATATTAGAGTTCAGCAGAATATATGTGTGTATATATATAATGAAAAAGGGGCCACATACTAAACTTGACAAGCCCAGAGGAGGCCTACATTGTGAGCCTTACAAACTCAGAGAAAGTAACTACATAGGATGGTCTGAACATAAAAATTCCTGACTAAAAGCAGGTCATTGTGTTGAGTCCTGTCCTAGGCTGGTATCTTCCTTCACAAAGGTCAGTCTTCACCTTAACTGAGCCTGTCTTGTCTTTTTGCATCTAGGATAACATACCTTTGGAATGTCAGTGTAATCATTATGCACAATTGCCCACCAGAACCTGAGACCCACAGAGCCCCTCATTGTTATTTCGTTCCCCAAATACCATCTCTATGTGGTATAAATGTTAATTGTTAACTGTCCTATACCCACCAATGTAAAAGAAGTATGTGTCTCTCCACTTTACTCTATATCCAGTACCAGAGATTTCCCCACTTTGCTTTCTCCTGCCTCCCTAATCTACCACCAGTGGATTTCATGTAACCCTCCTTAATGTCTTCTCCTTTGGTTCTCATGTATTAAATTAGCAGTAAAACTGCCATTCTCCAGAGTGTTTTCTCAATCTGTTGAGATTTTCTTCCTGCAGTTGTCATTAGTTGGCTCAGATAAACTCAGAATTTCTCTACAGGTTGGGATGTTTCTAACATCGACACACATAGACTCACACTCACACATTGATTGATTTACTTGGCCTCAAATATATTCATGGGCTTATAACTCACCCAATGATTACAGAGGCTGAGTGTTGTGCTCACTGGACACGAAGAAAACTCGAGACACGGAGAATGTAGAATTTAGGTGGAGATGCAGACAACTTAGGTGGAGGCTCTGCAACAACTCTCCTCACCATCCAGCGATTTTTATTGTGAGCCACAGAAAGGCAGGTGTGAGAGATAGTGATCAGTAGGAACTATAAAATGCGCATGGACAAGTGCCTTTGTTCTGTGCTAATGGTTCACATTTGTCCTTACTGCCGTAACTCTCCTGGGGACAAGCTTCCCAGATCAATAAGGATCTGTTTTCAGTTCCTGGCAGAAATTACTCCCTCGTTTTCAAGGGGACATCTGCGATTCTGGGGAGCTTGCTACCCAACTCCTTCAGAGTTCATTTGTTGTGTGCTGGCCTTTTCCTACAGCTGAGAAGTCCCAAGGATCTGTAGTCAGTGAGCTGAAGAGCCAGGAGAGCTGATATGTTTGTTCCAGTCCAAGTCTGAAGGCCTGAGAACCAGAAGAGCCAGCGGTGTCAGTTCCATTGTGAAAGCCAGCAGGCTAGAGACCCAGGAAGAGCCCCTTGCAGTCTTGAGCCCCAAGGCAGAAAAGACCAACATACTAAAGTCCCCAGGCAGGAGTTCCCTCTTATTCAGGCTTTTTGTTCTACTTTGGTCTTGACCCTAAAGCTGGGAGACCAACCTGCTTTACTCAGTCTACTGGTCAAAATTGAAATGTTAATTTCCTCCAGAAACACCCACACAGACACAGACACACCCAAAATAATATTTCGCCAAATGTCTGGGCACTTGATCAGTCAAGCTGATCAAATTAATATCACAGCTTCTTCGCTCAGTTTTCATTGTCCAGAGGCCTTTCACCTAGCTCTGCTTGACTCTGAGACTCAACAAATATAATAGAGTGTGAAAAACAAGAGTTTTCAATATTTACTGCTACCAGGGTTTTTAGTCACTTTGACTCTACAGACAGTCCTCCCTGGGTACTGGGTAGTTTTCTGGGAGTGCCTCCAGGAGGTGACTAGCTGTAGAAGTAATGTTTATGTAGCACCACTCTGAACCAGTAGTGTTCTAAGTGCTTTTATATGGATTAATTTTAACTTCACACATTCCTGAGGTGTATACTATGCATGCTACTATTATCTTTATAATAGATACAGAGAAGTAGCTCCCAAGATGGAAGAGAACAGTATGAAAGAAGTCACACACTAGCCTCAAAAAGGAGGAACCCTATACAGGAGAGTGGTGGTTAGGCCAGACATCTGTCTTGTCCTTCCTAAACAGAGGTTGGTAGAGAAGGATAAATGGTCTTTATAGATTTCCTCTGATTTTAGCTGCTTAACGATTTTAGTGTCTTCTATTATAATTCCATTGGCTTGATGATAGAAAATTCCCCAAGATACTGGCAAATAGATCATAAGTCCTAGATTTTGATAATAGTATGAGCTTTAGTCTTTCTCTGCCTTCATAGGTATTAGCATAAGCTAAAAAAGCCAGCCTTAGGGCTTGTTAGCTAGAAATCAGAAACCAGTTTTCTGGACTTTTCTTGCTAAATTCAAGTCTAGGTGTTTTTAAGTGGACTTCCTAATGGATTTTCCCATTTTGTATTTAGCAACAGAAATGCTTATTCAAAAAATTTTTTCTATTCACAATATATTTTACAGAACCAGAAAGGTGAATAAGAATATATTTTAAGAACATAGATCAGATTTTTAAAAAAAGAAACTCCAAATAATGTCTTTAAATGCATTGTGCAAAATGTTGTCATGTGAAGAAAGAGTGTTCATCCTAGAGATTATTAACTGGAGGAAACAATGACTAGTAGAGGAAAGTGTTCTCTGCACCCTCTCCCTCCCTCTTCCCAGTCTGTCCTGTTTAAACTTAGAAGACAAATTTGGAAACCAGCTAAAGAGCAAATTGCTCGAGTGCTATCAAAGAAGCAACATCTTTGAAATAAGGGACAGGAGTCCCAGCCAGCATTTGCATGTTGCACAGACAACATCCTAGTTAATAAAATACGGCTTTGGTAGACAGTGGTTTTTAAATTTAAGGTTTTTGAGCTAAAGCCACTCTGATGACAGGATTAACAATATAGCTGTGGAATTGGAGTGGAGGTTAAAGTGAGAGTTTCAAATTGAAGGGGGAGGTGATGGTGGAAAGGCCACTTTCATTATCAAAGTCAGTAGAAAAGTGAAGCAAGGAGTAGAAAGTGTCACAGGAGGAAGGCATGCATATCAGAGGAGTGAGGTGTTTTTACATGAGGTTGGAAGAGTAGTGATCTGGAAGTATTAGAAGTGGAGAGGATTCTTGACTCTCCTGACCCAAAAGAGTAGGGGGTTCTACAAAGAAACCAGAGAACAAAAACATCAATTCTTGCTTTTTGATATTTCAAAAGCTATGATTTTTGTATGAATCACAAAGATTTGCAAGAAAAATACATAACTACCCATCTACTATCCCCAGTGCACTCCCACCCTAACCCCCTCAGTCTGTCAGAGAACTAAGAAGCCTTGCTGGGGAAGGAAGAAAGAAAGCCACTATGGCAAAGAAGAAACTTTGAAAGTGCCTAAGAGAGCAACACCTTGCTTCCCACAGTCTGCCTCCGGCTGAGCTCAGAAGTGGAAATACCACAGGATTTTGCCATACCACATGACTTACATACTGACAAGAGTTCTTTCGAATGACACCTCTTTTCAGTGAAACTGTATGCTCTTCGAAAGCGGTGAATATATTTATCTCTTACACATCACTTTGTACACAAACCCTCAATTGTTGTTAACTGAACTGATTCCACAAATTGCTTCAAAGTATTTTGCCTCTAAATCTGGGTGTGTTTTTGGTCATTAAACACACCATCAGTCTAATGTGCAACTATATTTATTTTCAATTCCAAACTGCTCCCATGCTTAAAACCTCCAAGAGAGATTCTCCAAATTTCCAAAATCTCTTTCAAAAGCCACTTTCTAGATGAAGGCTTTCCTTAGCTCCAGCATGTATCTTGGGAACCATTATACAGTTTATTTTATTACAAATTTTTGCTGTCAGTTTCTAATATTTTTTCCATAAATTATCAGTTTTCCAAAAACATGTTGGTCAACAGAAAACATGAGAGTTTTGTTTTACAGGCATGTATAGCCAATACATATTTACTGACCGCTGTCACTCCTCTCCGCACTGAATGCAGCAGTAAACAGAATAAAGGAATTCTTTACCAGACAGGCTGCTTGTACTGTGAGAAAACATGGTCCCACGCTCACACTTCTCAAATGACTGAGATTGGAAAATGCACCACAGAAGTCAGAGATAAAGGCAGCGAATATTTCTACTCAAAGGTGAATGGGAGCCAGGGTGGTACTAACGCAGACATATCAGAATGCAAAATCGGCGATTACAAAGTGAAATTTCAAGTTGTAGTGGGCAGCTTTGAGTTATAGCTGTGGACAGTTCTCAGATTTGCCTAAACTCGAAGAATAATCTGGATTGGAAACCCAGAGTCAGGGTTCGGGGAGTGCCCTCAGGTCCGCCCCTCCTCACACACCCCTCGCCAGAGCCTCGGGTGCGGTCATCTGAGGCGGCCCTTCTCGGGCTCAGCACTTCCCCAGACAAGGGAGGGCTAAGAGAAGGCGAACATGCGGCGCGGGTCACCGGGCTGGAAAACAACCAAGGCCGGCAGTTCTCGACCCTCTCACTCAGTCACCGACCGGCGCACACCCTCCCTCCCTCGCCGCTCCCGGGTCCGGGAGGAGGGCTGAGCCCCCGCCTTCCTCCACAGCGCGCTTCCCGCCCGGGGGGCCTCCCGAAGCTTAGGCGACGCCCCGCGGCCCCGCCTCGCCTCGCCCCCATTGGCCCTCCAGCTGGCCGTGCCCTGTGACGTCACCGCGAGGCGCCGGCGACTGTGCTTCTGTTCGCCAGGGCGCCTGCTTTTAACAGCT